TCTTTTAATGATAACTGGACAGTAAACTGCAAGTGTCCATCTGGGTTTAACATTTAAACAGTGTTTAAGTACTTTAGCTTTCTGAAGAGCAGCTACTTCTCAATTATGCTTCGTGTAATTTGGGCCTTTGTGTCCTCACCCAGGAGCAGTCTGAGGTGCCCTCGTCCTCCCATGCGAGGCAGAAACTGGAGGGGCTCCTGAACAAGAACATGAGGATCCGCATGACCGACGGGAGGACTCTGGTGGGGCTCTTCCTCTGCACAGACCGGGACTGCAACGTCATCCTGGGATCTGCTCAGGAATTCCTCAAATCCTCAGGTGGATGAGCAGTTAGTGCATTTCACAGCAGCTTTTCTCAGTTTATAATTAGGATAGTATCTTTAGGCATCCGTGTGTGGGGAAAAAACACACACAGGAGACATTTTTCTGAGTTATTTTAAAAATGAATGACATCTGGATGATGATGGTTACCATTATCCGGTGTTCTTTGGGTTTTTATCTTAAGGAGTTTTCTATTTATCTCAATATCAGGTCAAACTAAGAAAAGGTTTAAATATTTTGATGCAGCAGGATATTGAAAACGGTCATATTTCCATGGATTGGTCTCCGATCGATCACATTTTTTATTCATGCTTCTCAGATATGAATTATTTACAGCCGGGGGGAAGTTTTATCTGCTGCACACACGATCGATAAGACAGGTGGTCGTTGAAGAGTGTTACCGGCTGTAAATAGGAGGCTTTGCCGGTTTAACCGGGTGCCTTCTGTCCTCAGACACCTTCTCCCAGGCTGAGCCCAGGGTCCTGGGCCTGGCCATGATCCCCGGCCACCACGTGGTGTCCATCGAGGTGGAGGCGGAGAGTCTGGAGGAGACGCATAGTTTTGGGGGCAGCCACTGACGACTCCAAAGAAGATCCGGCCCCGTTTCGGGAGGATTTTTTACTCGGCTTGTGCCGATTCAGAACTCTGGATTTGACTTTCTGTGACTGACAGAGACTATTTCCTGCAATTGGACTGTTTGTGTTGGAGCTCTGAGTGTGTGTATAAAGGTCTGTTTGTTAGTATTTTAAAATAAACCCCTGCCTTTCGGGCCCTGGTTCATCGGATAATGCTTTAGGGAACATTTCAGGAGCAGAGGACGTCGCGTATCCGAGTCCTTTTATAAAACCCACACCTCAGGAGCCGTCTGTTTCTAGACTTTTAATACACTCAAGCATGTCAGCGGATTCAGTTTGGCAACAGAGAAAGACAAAAAAAAAAGTCGATGCCACTGATCAGCTCCTCTTAAAGAGTTACATACAAAGAGCCGGTCACATTTTGGTTCACACCACGAGCAGAAGAAGCAGTTACAGTCACGCGTCCTCGGTCCGTTCCGAACAAAATAACTTAAGTTTGTGCAAAAAAATAAAAATAAAAAAATAGGGAAACTAAAACGGTTAAAACAGCGTCCTCTGGCCGGGCGGCGTGCTGGGCTTCTCTGCAAAGCGCTGCGTTGGCCCGGTCCCCCACAGATAAATATTATCCAAACGACCCGTTCGGCGAGCGCAGAAATTCAAGCTCCGAAAGGTTTGACCCGCGCGCTCTTCTATTTATAGACGGGCTTCTCGTGTGGCTGCCCAGGGCCGGCCGGCTTTTAAAAAGCCTGCAGTAACATTTCAGGGCTGGAGAAGCCTTGGAGTGGTTATTTTTTTTCTTCTTCCCCCAAACAGACGAGCAAAAGTGCGAGTTTTTGAAGACGTCCTGTGAGTTGACCCGTTGAGGAAAAAAAA